CCAAAAAGACCACCAATCAGAAAACTCCGATTCACTTCAGCACTGCCTTGCCATATAAAAATGTATATATGCCTTGGTATATCTGCCACTAATACCCTTTTCCCATTTCCCATTGCTAGTTCGAATTCTAGTAGGGGCTAGTCATAGCGTCGATGTCATCGAACGGGATCCCGCATGGAGGTCAGGTGGAACAACTTTACAAGGCCACAGCACACAACAGTTTACCACAGCTGAACCAATCAAAGTGGATCATTCACGGAAGGTTGAACTGGTACTCAGGCTTGTAGCCAGGTAATATTTCACATAGCACTTTTAAAAGAGGGCAAGTCAGCAACTTGTTTCAGAAGAGTTAGTCCTCCGTCCTTGGCTCGACCATCAACTGTTGTTTTAAAAATGAGCCCGTGTTCTATCTACAAGGTAGGACTTAGAGGGTTGCGCTATTCGACCTAAATATCTACCGGTATTCGAAAGATTTTCAAGATAGAACTTTTCTTAAGATGGCCCCGAGATCTCAAGAACTAAGTACAAAACGTTTCAGAAAGAATTTTTTCACTGTCGTTCTCAACGGAGGAAATCAGGTGAAAGCGGGTTTCTTCAAAATTGACGGTGAGTTGTAACTGTCATTTCTTTGTTGTAATTATTTTTCTAATCTTTTGTCATTTTTAGAGATGGAGAGGAAGATCTAGTATTCCCCGAAGGTGAATGTAAACCGCTATCAACTCTGACTCCACCAGCTGTCCAAGAGTAGAGCAGACAATAAATCGATGTAAATGAAGTCGGTTCAAAAAGTATATTCTAATTGCTTTCGGGTTTGTCTAGTTAACAGATGACACCAGATTGTGTTAAGAAATTACATAACCTGAATGCAGACATTTTGATTGTTTTTTCGTATTATCTATTGGAGGATAGACGCATAGATGACGTTACCATCAACAAGTTCTTGCTTCTGTACTAATGAAACGTAGATTCCATGTTGCCATTATTCTGGTCAATGATAGATCACAGAAGACGTAAAATGTGGCAATACCCATGTAGGTGGACCATTTCATTTCAGCGAAATTTTGCAGTATTTTGTCCACTATTGAGTAAAATTACCAGAATAAAAGAATAAGTATAGAAAGTGGATTTGTAGTCTTCACATTCATTTTAAAAATAACTACTGAAGAACCAGTCCTCTCAAACAAAAATTTTTATTTCATCTTGAAAGCAAAATTACACTTTCGCATCTTTGCGCAACTTCTTCAGTTCAGCTTTAAGCACTCTGTTTTTCTATAAAGCAAAACAAAAGCTTTCATTAGACAATACTTCAAAATCATGATCACTGTATTACCTTGAATAAGCAACCATGCTCAAAAAAGCGCCCTTCCCTGAAAAAGCATCAACCCTTTTGGCCACAATATCAAACAAGCACCCCTCTTGAATAAGTGCACCCCCCTCTTCCATCGTTGTTTTTGATAGAAGAGATACGAGGAAAACCTGTTTCCACTGCCAGTTCTCTTACAACTCGTTAAGCTTCAACTGCAGCAGAATCAGTACAAGTTGATTATTTCTTTATAAGCCCCCCTTATAAGCCCTTATTTGAGGAGCATGTACAACAGCCTCAAAAAGCTCAACTCAGTAATGAGGGTAGCCATGTAAGTTTAGAATCAACCTTGAGCCCTCTGACATTGATAAGCCTCACATAACTGTCAAAATTGCTTTTGCGAGCAGGGGGTCTGTACATACAGAGAGGGTTAGAAGAAAAATTTCTAAGGTTGGAAATTTTCACATCCCTGAAGGTACCCAAAACATGCAACTTGGTTATTTTCAGTTATCTTAACAGCTGCATGCAAATTCTCTAAGGTTGGGAGGTGTCACAAAAAACCTAACAATCGCTAATGATCAAGAAAAGTTGGCTCTGTTTTAAAAACATTTATATACCAAGAAAATTTGTCACAAATGTGTTGCAGAGAAAACTCATAGCCACTGAAGAGGAGGTGAATGCCAAACCTGAAGGATCACCAAATGAACCCTTTAAAGTGCATATGAAGTGAAATCAATTTTTTAATATTTTGAAAGATCAACATTTTTAAGATGCTATCCCAAAGTTTGAACTGTTTGAAAAAAATTGGCGATTTTATAACGTCTGAAAGTTGTGCAATTTTGCTCTTAAAAATAGTCTTTGAATCGCGCAGCCAAATTTTCCGATCACGTGGCCTGATGACATAGAGTTGTGGACAAGACTACAAGATTGCAATATGCAATTTCTCCTTACAATGTCACCCCTCAGAAGTCAGGTTAAGGTCGCAAGAATAAAAGAAATGATCATCAACTAAAGGAGCTCTTGATTGTTATTCAAATTCTCCTTGTCAGTATCTTAGGGATTGTACGAGGAACAGCATGAAGAATATGTATATTGATGTTATGGTAGAAAGGGTTAACCCTTCGTGAAAATTTAGTTGAATAAATTTTGGATTTGTGGCATATGTGTTGGTTTAATTACTGACACAAAACAAATGACAAAAGAAAATGATGTTATGACCATCAATT